TATGGACTCTCGCATGGCCTCACAATCTTATACATGGTGGTTGATGCTTTCCCACCATGATTCGAACCCAGTCCAATTTCACCACATACTTGCAACAGATCTCCTAGGATAGAACAAATCAATTTGTTAGTCATTCGCGTTGTAGTCTTTTATACAACCATTTATTTATACGTAATTTTTAAAATCTACGATACATTTTACATGTTATTTTCAAAATTCTCGGGGGAGTCCATGTAGTTCTGCTCCTGCCCCCCACCCCACTGTTGCACCAAATTCCTCCGCCTAGGAGATTCCCTTCTCCCTCGTACAAGCTTGAAAGAGAGAGGGAGATAGTGTTGCAGTGGGGTGCACCATCTAATCTACCATCACTTCCTGGTCGTCGTCCGCATCATCACCATCTGTTAGCTGGGGGAAAGAAGCACCACCGCCCTCATCATTTTTTGTTCTCATAATGCTCCCCACGAGTGCTGATTCGGGCCTAATTGCACACATTTTATACCCGTTTCCCTTGGGCGTTCGTAGCATTTGGACTCCTAAAAGGGTGGTTTTAAGCTACGTTTTGTGCATTTTAGTGTGTTTCGGGATCCAACAGGTGAAACCAGCCCCGGTGTCAAAACTTGGACAAAAAGAGGTGAAGACCGGGCAAAGAGGGTGATCCAGGCAGAGTTCACGGTTTAGCATGGGAGTTTACGGTCCACTATGGCCGTGAACTGAAGCCCAAAACCATGAACCGCGATGCGACCAGAGAGAAATCTGCAGTTACTACCGCGGGACGAGTTCACGGTCAACAAGACCTTGGAGATTGAGGCCAAACCGTGAACTCCTGATGGCGAAGCGGTGCGTTTCGACATCCCGCTCTGTGTTCAAGGACGCGTTGAAGAGTTCACGGCCGTGAACTGAGGCCGTGAATAAGCCCGAACTGGTATATAATGTGAGCTGAAAGGAAGAGAGAGGGGAGCCCAAGTGTGAGAAAGTGTTTTCTTCTTCAGATTTTAGAGAGAGAAAGGATGAACCAAGAAAGAAAGAAGGCTAGGGTTTGCTCCAAGTGGTGGATTGGGAAGATTCTCCCCAAGAGAAGATCAACACAAGCTCAAAGGAGGTTGGAGGCATCACTATGATGGTTTCTACCTCTTCCTCTTGTGTTCTTCCCCTTCATAGCATGGAGTAGCACTCTTTTTCACTTGGGTGTTGTGAAACCCTAACTATTTCCATGTAGTTGTCGTGTGAATTGAATGATTGTTTATGGGTGTTGTTTAATTCAATGATTGAGGTATTTTTCATGTTGATTGTGCATGTTTGTGCTTAGCAATCCAATTGGCCATTCTAACCTAGATGAGAGGGAAACCCCCTTTCAAGGGAGGCTCAATTGAGTTGGGATTCTTTGGGCTTTTTAAGCCACCTATCTAGGTTAATGAAGGGCAAACCTCTATGTTTAATTAAGCAATTTGGTTAAGCGCGATCAAGACGACCAACCATTGGGTTGAGTGAGAGAGTAAGTCAACCATCGATTGCCTTAACCAAGAGGGCTACTTGAGTAGCCTATAATGTATCCCTTGGTTTGGAAAACGAGAGTATGGTCAACGACCATAGTTGCATTTCCTAGCGGTTCACGGTCACCTTTCCCGTAACAATTAATTCAATTCCTCGTGCCATGGTAGTAGTTAGGAGGAAACGACACCCGAGTGATCCTTCTCACATAGAGCTTTCAAAACCATTTATTTTGCCTTGCTTTCTTTAATTAGCAATCTTTTCAACCAAAACCGATTTGCTAGATAATGTTTCAAACAATTGCAACTATGGTAGTAGGGGTACACGGACCGGCTCGAGTTGATATTTAAACATACTTGCCATGTATTGCACCCTACTAAGGTTTATACTTGGACCTTAGGCGGGAATTATTGTGATATTCGGGACGAGTCAAGTTTTTGGCACTGTTGCTGGGGAACAACGGTCTGTTATCTTGAAAAAGATGTTTGGTGTTAATCTAGCTTTTAATTTCAGTTTTGAAAGTGCGTGTGCTTTACTTGTGTCGCAACCGCACCTCCGAAATCGGGGGACCCGTCGCATCATGCTCGGAGTCGCCGTCGACCTTACCTGTAGTGGGTCGAGCACTATTCGGCCCGGTCTCGACCTTAAGGTCGAAACCAGGGTTTTGGTCTGCGAATTTAGAGATTATGGGTACGGGAGTAAGGTTATGTGTGGGGAAGTGTATTCACGCCCCACTACGTCCCAGATGGGTGCTACTTAAATCGATAAGTTTTTGAAGAAATTGGGTGTATTATAATTTGTGCCTTATTTGTGTATTTATAATATTCAATTAATTTGGTATTTTTTTATATTCAATTTGATGATACACCTATTGACGTAAATCTCAAAAGTAAAGAAAATGTTTTTGAATAGTTGGACTCGAACATATTGGTTACCTACGTACCCGAGTAGTCGAGATCAAAGTCCACGTAGTTCGATTATGTTGAAAGATTTTATATGTTGAGTCTCACACATGAAATGTGGAGAAAATTTGTTAGTTGGACTTGAAACCTAGTGGTTTCCTACGTACCCGAGTAGTAGGGATCAAAGTCTACGTAGTTCGGTTAAAATTAGACGATTATGAAAGAGAAACCTAACACGAAAGCTTGATCGTGCGTGAGGTTTGGGATTGTATTTTTCATGGGAAACGTGTTTTGATTTTGTAATTGGGTAATTGACGAATTTGAGGAATTTCAACTTATGAAATCATCGGGGTCTATTGACCATGATCTTATATGAAAGATTGTTTAGAAAAATTTAGTATGATGACATAACGAAAATTATCTCAAAAGGATAAAAATATTATAGTAATGAATTAAAGTGAAGACATTAATTAAGTACAAGTTCATAGCCTAACTGGTTAAGTTTGTTAATCGAGGGTTAATATTTGTACTTAGGGGTCGTTTGGAAGTTGTGATTGTTAAATAGATGTATTGTTGAGAATGCATGTATAATATTATATATGTATTGTCGAATTTGATGCATTGTAGAATACAACGTTTGGTATGTGTGATTGTGTATGTCGCATCAGCTAAAAGCTGAGACAAAACAATCTCAACTCAACTACCTCAACAACAACTAAAAGTTGAGATATAACAATCACTCAAAATTAGTGATAGTTTCTGTCACATCATAGAAAGAATCCATGTATTGTTTCTGCTAAATAAACAAAAAAACGATGCATTATAAACAATACATGCATAATGATAATCTCAACAAAACTATCGCAACTTCCAAACGACCCCTTAGTTTGATACTCATTGGGTTTCACTTTTGGCCATTTTCGCAAAAGGAAGAGCTAATGGTGGCAGGTAGTTTTGTGGAAAATGTAGGGGTAGCAGATGTAAGGGCTCCTTAACTTTAACAAACCCTAATCTATAATCTCCCCCCATTTGCAATCTAGCGGCCGCCAAACTCCATCCTCCTCTCCTTTCTTTCGATTTCGGGACCGGTTACTATGACAACACCCTTTGTGTTGTTATTGTAACAACACTAATCTCCAATCAATAGGAAGCTAGGATTGTGATTGCTTTTTATTAGATGAGTTGACCTAGTGTAAAATAAAAGCAGGGGTATAATTATCATTATGAAAAATCTGCCAAAAAATTTGGTCGCCGGAATTCTACCACCGGTCGTCGGTCACCGGAATATGCTTTTTTGTCGCCGGAATATGCTTACCGGCATCGGAATATGCTTACCAGCGTCGGAATCTAGTCATCGGGGCCGGAATATGCCTATCGGCGTCAGAATCTGCTCATTGACGGTCATCGGAGTTCGGTCAACGAACTTTGTTGACCGGTCAACAAATTTCGTTGACCGGTCAACGGACAACGACCGCCGGATGTTATGGTCTGCATTGTGAGATTTATGGTTTGGTTTCTCATATTTTTGTATGCCTTTTGTGGTTTGCTTTATCGTGTTTCTGGTTTGTATTAAGAAGTTTCTGGTTTGCTTTATCGTGTTTGTGGTTTGCATTGAGAAGTTTCTGGTTTGCTTTCAAAAATTTTGTGGTTTGCTTTACGGGGTTTCTGGTTTATTTTAATAGATTTTTGGCCTGCATTAGGAAGTTTCTGGTTTGTTTTTGTGGTTTGCTTTATCGTGTTTGTGGTTTGCATTATGAGGTTTCTGGTATGTTTTTGAAAATTCTGTGGTTTGCTTTGCGGAGTTTCTGGTTTGTTTTAGTAGATTTTTTGTCTGCATTAGGACGTTTCTGGTTTTTTTTTTTTTTTGGTTGCTTTAACGTGTTTGTGGTTTGCATTATGAGGTATCTGGTGTGCTTTCAAAATATTTGTGGTTTGGTTTGTGGTGTTGTGGTTTGTTTTAGAGAATTTATGGTATGCTTTCGAACATTTTGTGGTTTGCTTTACCGTGTTTGTGGCTTGCATTGGGTGGGGGGGGGGGTTCTAGTGTGCTTTTCGAAATATTTGTAGTTTGCTTTGTGCGATTTCTGGTTTGTTTTAGAGAATTTGTGGTTTGTATTAGGAGGTTTTTAGTATGCTTTTTGTGTCTTATTTTAACATGTTTGTGGTTTGTTTTATGAAGTTTCTGGTGTGTTTTAGAAATATTAGTGGTTTGCTTTCTCGTGTTTCTGGTATGTTTTTCGAGACTTGTGCTTTGCATTTGAAGGTTTCTGGTATGCATTTTATGGTTTGTTTTACCATATTTGTGGTTTATATTAGAAAATTTTTGGTGTGCTTATGAGATACTTGTGATCTTCATACCAATAACTCCTAAATACATATTTAAACACAATAATACATACCAAAACACTAAAAAAAACATAAAAGAACCATCAAAACCATACAAAACCCTCAAAATTCATGGATATTGAATGATTAGGATCTAAATACTTAAATATTAATTAGAAAACTACTTCTGCTCCAATTTCCCGGTCGGCTCTCTCTCTCCCTATTTATACATAGCTCGTGTTAATGATTCCTACTATACAATCAAGTCGCCACAGAATACTTCCTCCCCAGCATCGATCTACTTCTTCTTTTTTTCAAAATTTGTCAATTCTCTCTTCTCTTTCTAGGAGCGACGAGGAGAAAGGGAGGAAGAGAACACGACAGCGATGGCGATGGCAAAAGGAAAGAAGATGATCGACTCCGACGATGGTGGCAATGAAGGCGGCGAAGGTGGAAAGAGTAGAGGGAAAAGAAAGAAGGGGTTGAGTGATTTCAACCCTCACCGGCGGTGAGGAAGTGGTTCCGCCGACGGTGAAAGGTTCTGGTAAGTTTTGGACATGCATATATCTTTTGGGTTCGATTGGTTGTTTAGGATTCTGATCGCAGTTTCTGGGTTTCTTCTTTTTGGGTCAGTCCGAGGGGAGAAGAAAGAGCGAACAAAGGAGAAAGTGAGGTCACCGCCGGCGAGCAATGGCGGTGTCTCCGGCGGCGGAGGCAGACAGGACCTGGTAAGTTTCTTTTATTTTTGAATTATCTTGTTTGCTTGGTGGACTCTAATTTAACTTCCCTTTTGTTGCAGGTTTGAGAACAAGAATAGAATAGCTACTGATCCCAACTATGGTTTGATTTAAATTCAGTGTTGACGATTTGGAGTTTTACTTGTGATTGCTACTTTATTTGCTGTTATTGATTTGCTGGCTTCTTGATTGGGAAATTGTTGATGGTTTACGATGTTGCGCTTGATTTAGTGCTTTGGCCCTGCTTTAGCATGTTTTTAGGTTGTGGTTCAATTCTGGAAATTTGGTGGCGTTTATTACTGGGTTTGCTGGTGGAAATTTATATTCATGGGGCGAGTCTGATTTGGTGAGTCTGATTTGAGCTATCTGTAGTGGGTAAGATGGCTTTTAGTAAACTTTAATTATGAGTTGGCATGAACTAAACAAATGAATAATTTGTTCAAAGAGAAAACCAATCTGTTTTTGGTTTACAATATGCTCAAACAAACAAAGTTGCTTTAAACAGATTTGATTTATTAGAAATGGTAACACCATGTTATAATTTTGCTTGGAAACCAGTTGAAGTTAGATGCTTCTCTTAAAATCATTTTTTTAGGATAGATAGAAGTCGAGATTGATAAAGACGATGTTGGGTTATTTGTGGTTAACCAACCTATTGCTTGCTGTTTGGTGAAGGGGATGGCTGCTGCCTCTTCCCCTAGATTTTGGGAGCTTTGTTGGTCGCTACTGCCTTCTGCTCCTCCTTTCCTTTTTAGTTTTCTTTTTGTTGTATGTGTTTGTTCTTTAGTTTTTTTTTTTTTTTTTTCTGTTGGTGTGTTTAAGAGGAAGACAACCGAGTTGGAATGGGATTTTTCTTGCTGTCTGCTTCTGATTCCTTGTTTTGAGTGTCTGTTTGTGTAAGAAAGGAAGAAGAATGTCTGCTGCTATGGTTGTTGCCGCCTTTGGCTGCTGCTGTCACTTATTGTTTTCCGCTCTTTAGTCTTGTTCTTGTAGAAGTCTCCTAGCTTCTGGGTGATATGTTGCCACCTTGTTGTCTCATTCCTTTTTTGTAGTATCGTTGTTTTTTGTTGCTCCTTGAGTACCCCCCCTCTCCTGTGTATTTTTGTTATTGTTGTGGCCTCTACTTTTGTGTGTGTAGGGTTGTTGGGTATTGGCCAAAGAAGAGAAGGAATTGGGAGAGTGAAGTTTTTGCATGGTCTGTGTCTGAAGAAAGACGTAAAAGAGAACAGATTGTCTTTGTGCTTTGTAAGAAAAAGGAAAGAGTAGAGGAAGAAAGTTGTATGTATACGAGGGAGAAGAAGAAAGAAGCCAAGAGTTTTGTTGTTTGCATTTTGTCTTCTGTGTGTAAGAAGAAGAGGAATAAGAAGAACCAGAAAGCAAATGGATCGGCCCTTGGCAGGACGCTTGGGGGAAGAAGAAGAAGAAGAAGAAGAAGAAGAAGAAGAAGAAGAGAAGCCTTCACGGGAAGCTTGGGGGAGAAGAAGAAGCGAAGTTGTCGCACTCCTCTCTAAGAACAAAGGGTTCTTTTAGGCTAACTCCAATGGAGCCTCTATATTTGGGGAGCCTCTATATTTGCGGAAAGTTGGCTCCAATGGATCCTCTATAAATGGAGGAGTCTCTATATTTGGGGGAGATATCCAAAAGGATCCCCAAATTTGGGGTGGAAATGGGGGTTCCCCCAAATATAGAGACTCCCCAAAGCCGCCACGTGGCGTTTCTTTTTCTTTTTAAGATTTTAACGGTTAATTGGGGTTTAATTAGGGGATTAGTTAGGAGTTTAATTAGATCAATAATTTTCAAGTGTTGTGTGTAAACCCAAATTAGGTCAATCATTTTTTGTCAACAAAAATTTGGTCTCAAAATTAAAAAAAAATTCTACCGGAAAATTTGTATTTGAAAATGATGACGAACTATACAAAAATTAACATGAACAGATTATATTAAGACTTCGATAAGTATATTTTTAAGTAAATGGAAAACTTAAAAATGGAGATCTCCAAATATAGAGGATGTAGCATTGGAGCAAAATAAGGGAAATTTGGGGGCTTGCATTGGAGTTGGTCTTAGAGAGTTGATAAAGGTCGTCCTAACAATTACTAATAATCGTCCTAAAAAAACAAAGTTACACTTTTAACTTTTTAACATCTTTCCCATTCCTTTAGCAAACAAACACCACCTTCACTTAGAAAGCAAAAAACACTCATTTTCCCACTCTCGAATTCATCATTGACATTTGGAAGCCGAAATCGTCGAGCATACGTCCGAACAATGAGTAGTGACTCTGATGAGGTAAAAATCTTGTTTTTTTTTAAAAAAAACCCCCAAAAATTCTCAACCTAAGGTAATTTTCAGTTGGTCTATGGTTCAACCGAAAATTGAATTCGGTTGGACCATGGACCAACCGAAAATCACATTTGGTTGAGCCATGGACGAACCAAAAATCTGCTTCGTTTGGGCCATGGTTGACACGAAATTTGGTTTCGGTTGATCCACGGTAGAACCGAACCCTTCCTTCGGTTAAACCATGGTGAAATCGAAAATTGGCTTCGGTTTAGCCATGGTGGAACCGAAAATTGGCTTCTGTTGGTGGATTTTGGGTTTTTTTAAGTTTATATCAAATATTTTTTTTTTGTTATGATTTATAATTTGGTCTATAAGATTGTTTGTTGAATTTTAGTTTATATTATTTTTAAAATTTATGAGCCTATTTATTTGTGAAAGTGAATGTTTTTTATACAAAATTAAGATTAGATGTATAATACGCAATAAAAAAAATCTAGAATATGATTAATATGATTCTTACATTAGATGTATAGTATGTAAATAATAGAGAATGCTAAATTTTGCCATGTCAAATGTTGGATTTTGCTTAGGAGAATATAGAGAATGCTAAATTGTTTGTGATAATTGTTAAATTAAATGTAGTCGTTAGATTTTTTATTATTGTGGAGTCCTACTTATATCATGAGATCTAACATTGTAGGATATTGATGATTACGAAGGGGATGACAAAGATTACACCTCAGAATTCGTCAATGGAGTAAAATACGATACGGATTTGATTGCATATGCAGCAGCTACTGAGATTGTCAAGGGTTTTGGGTTTTATTTGGTGAATACATCAAATAAAAAAAATCCAAGTGAAGATAGTAGGCGACGATACTTGAAGTGCACTCATGGTAGGAAGAAAAAATCGAAGGCTCCTGATTCTGATCCGGCTAAGGAAAGGAGGCCTCTTACTTCTTCTGGAAAGTTGGGGTGTGAATTTCATATCAAGATTGAGCGGTCAGATGATGGATATTGGTTGATACTAGCAGTGGCTAATACAAAGAATCCTGGTGTTAATATGGGTTTTCACAATCATCCGCTGGAGCTATTTCCGAATGGATCAAGTAAGAGGAATGTTTTGACCGAAGATGATAAGCAATACATCAGACAACTGAGATTAGCCGGTGTCGCCTCAAGGAATATCCACAAGGCAGTGAACGAGAGACAAGAGGAGCATGGAAAGGTGAGCAAAAGACAGATTTCTAACGCATTGTATAAGATAAGAAAAGAAGAGCTTGGTCAGAGGACGATCTTACAGTACACTTTTCAAGATGCTCGGGAGAAGGGTTACTATGTGTAGTATGTGGATGACCGTAACGTGCTTACACACTTGTTCCTAACCCACCCTGAGTCAATATTGATGTTGCGAGCTTGGCATCATGTCATTATGATAGATGCAACATACAAGACCAACAAGTATGAGTTTCCATGGGTTGAGATTGTTGGCATGACACCGGTGGGATTGAACTTTGTCATTGCATCTGCGCTAGTGTATGACGAGACAAAAGAGTCGTACCAGTGGCTTCTCACGCATCTGCAATATTTTCTTGGCTCTATCACTCCAGATGTATTTGTTAGTGACAAAGCATGATGAAAAGGACGTCTCATTGTGGGATAGATGCAGCCCAACCGACAGTGGATCTGATCATGGCGTCTTGGAAAAGGATTGTATATGCCGGCAGTGAGGAAGGCATGAATAGAGCTTTAGACAGTTTCAGGCGTAGTTGGGGAGTACAGTATCCACGTCTTTGGAGGTACTTGTCAGATGAGTGGTTACCGAACGTTGACCTCGGTTTGACCGAAGGCCAAGCGAACGTTGACCTCGGTTTGACCGAGGGCCAACCGAATGGAGGCTTCAGTAGTTGAAGGGAGGGGAGATGCTTACCTTCTCCGGCGAGGACTGACGGCGCGGTTGGCGACGACGGCGACTGCTGGCGTGGTTGGCGACGACGCTGCGGACTGACAGCGCGGCTGGGAGGAGGGGCTGACGGCTGCAGCGGACGTCGACTGTTGGCGCGGTTGGCGACGACGCTGCGGACTGACGACGCGGCTGGCGGGACTGGAGGCGTGGCCGAGTGGCGGCGTGGGGCAGCAGGTCGAACGCCGGCGGCGTGGGGCAGTGTGCGCGGCGACTTCTCTGCTGCCTGCGGCGTGAGGGTTTGGCACAGAATGTCGGGGAGAGGAAGTGGGAAGGGGTTGTTTGTTTAGGGTTTGTTTTTTAATTTTAAAAAGGGTAATTCAGTAATTTACGTATTAAGTTAGGACGACGGTTAGTAATTTTTAGGACGACCTTTAACCATTCAGTTCTTTTATAGGGAATAGGCAGCTTGGTCCCCAAGCATGCTACATTGCTAGTTCGGTTCATGGACAGACCAATATTGGTTTGGGTCCAACTGGGTTTGGTTGACGGGTTTGACCAGTGGGTTTTTTACTTTTATTGACTACATACTTTGACTTTCATTGACTATTGAATTTTGGGTTGGGCTTTGACTTGGGCCTAAATTCTTTTATTGTACCATTGTAATTATTGTAATGTAATAGCAATCTAGCATTGTAATTGTAATTGTTAATTATTGTATTTATCTTGATAAAATTGTTATGACTTCTATTCTATTATTTAGAAATTGAGGCCCCAATTCTTATAACACCTGATGGTTTAGGGATCTATTAAACAGTAAAATACATGACAACCAAAAATCGAACTCAAACTTAATTTGTATAACCATAACCACGTCAACTAGTCACTATCAAATTGCATCAATCGAAATTTGCTATTGTCTAATCTCAATTGAGGCAAAGTGATGACCCTCCCCAAGCACTATAAATTCGTTTTAAGTAGAAATTCACTATTGCAAAACCCAAATAAAAAATAAATTTTATTTAGTTAAATATGTTTTAACCCGGACAAAAAGTGGTGTCTACAACTTGTGATAGGCTTTGTGTTGTTTTTTAAGTGTGTGTAGGGAGGTGCATGACCCGGAGCAATCCGACACCTTTGATACCACGTGACGAGGACATAAACGGAACTCTCCGACTCCTTGTACGGGAGAGGGAGCTAGGGGAGGCAAGGAGGAGAAGTGAAGAAAGGGGACAACAATTTGGTCTCGGTACTGGTGGAGTAGAAGTTGAAGAAGCGGAAGGTGAACCCGATATTGGAGTAGAAATGGCGGGGAACCAAAGAGAAGCATGCCGGCTAAATCTTTGCAACTGAGGCTTTCCCCCTATCAGTTGCGGGGAAAGCAATCCGGTGGCTAAACAATCGCCCGCCTCAATTTTTCTTGGACATCACCGACTAATCCTAGACCCCCTGGGTTTTCAGTTTTCAAAGCCCCACGGGAAATTACCAACCTTGGCCAACATTCATCCAACAAAGGCCTCAAGTCCAAAGCTCAAGCTTCCAACAACCATACCAAGCACAAGGTGGCCAAGGGTTTCAACAACAACAACAACCCGACAAGCTATCAAAGCTTGAAGACCTAGTGAACATCTTTGTGAGCACGAGTGCTCAAAAGTTCGAGAAGATTGAGCAATTTATGGATGTGGCGACTACTAAGTTTACCTTGGTTGAGGCGGCACTCCGAAGCCATCAAGCGAGCCTCCAAAGTTTGGAGGTGCAAATCGGCAATCTTGTCGGCATCCTCACCGAGACACCCAAGGGAGCCCTACCTTCCCAAACCGTGGCGAACCCCAAAGATCATGCCGGGGTGAATGCAATTCAAGTGGGAAGGGGAAAGGTGACTCCGAGAGTTGCTGCTCAAGAAGTGAGGGAGAAGGAAGGTTCCAACCCGAAGGATGGAGAAGAAGATCCCCTGAGGGGAGGGGAGAAAGGGGCAAGGAAGGCATCGCCGACACCACCTCCGGTGGTTGAGTACAAGCCACCCCTTCCTTTCCCCAAATTTTGAATGCCTCGCCAACGTGACCCTTGGCGAGAAGTGTTCGGCATTCCTCCTCAACTGCTTGCCCAAAAAGCGGTCCGACCCATGCTTTACTATCCCTCTTGGTATTGGTAACCATCATATAGAAAATTCCTTGGAGGATCTAGGAGCTAGTGGTAATGTGATACCCTATAACCATTTCAAAAAGTTAGGAGTGGGTGAACTTAAGACCACTAAGCTTAGCAACACTTTAGGCGACCGGTCGGTCATTAGCCCGAGAGGCATTGTAGAGGACATGTTGGTGCGAGTAGGGAAGTTTTGCAATCCGATAGATTTCGTGATTCTCAACATAAGTGAGGACTCGGATATGCCACTCATACTCGATCGTCCCTTCCTCACCACAGCCAAGGCATTGATAGATGTTAATGAGGGGACCTTAATCTGAGGGATGGTGAGGATAGAATCACTCTTGAAATTGACCCTAAGGCTAGAAGTGAGGAAGTGAAGGAATTGGTTTCGAATGATGTTAATGTGAGTGGAGGAGAGCCTCTCAAGGTGAACCCCACTATTACTTGTGTCGCTTGTAGTGATGTTGAGCAGGAAGCTCCCCACTATTATTTTGGGTTTGACCTCCCCTATTTAGGTGTTGTAATTATTTTAGGGTTGACCAGTAGGACAAACATTTCTTGTTGCGTAATGATAGTTCGCAACAAACGTAATATGCCTTCACAAGAAAAGTAATATGCCTTCACAAGGCCCTGAATATTACTACAAAATAACATT